GGCCCCGCCGTCGTCACCGGTGCCGTCCCCATGCTTCTGACGGGCCCGCGGCCTAGCTAGGGGCGCTGTGCGTCAGCGCGTGCTCCGGGACAGCAGTTCTGAGTTGCAGTTGTTGAAGCCGTTCTTGTAACGTTAGTAATTCGCTAGTAACCTCTGTAGTTACTAATTAGCAGAGAGTATAGAGATGTTATGAGATGTACTACGCTTCCCAGAATGTTGCCAGCTGGCAGTCTGGCTGCACTTACAGGGCTTGTGGCCCCTTTTATGTATTTATTTATGGTAACTTGGGTTTTTTAGTTTGGTTTGTGTTGTTTTTCTGTGTTTGATTGTTTGGGACTTTTTGCAGGTTGGTAACTGCGCATTGCTGTAAGACATCACAACCTGAACATGAGTCAGTAGTGCTGTGCTTCATCAAACATCGTGCTGGAGCGTACGGGAGCATCACCTGGATGAGGCTTGAAATACCCATCCTGTTTGTGTGTGGAACTAGTCAAGAGACCAACCCAAGCATCAAGAACAGTGTAGACCAACAACAGAGAGATGAGAATCACCAGCAGACTAGATAATGAGGCCTGTCAGGGAAAAGAAAGAATCTGCTTAGTCGAAAAAAAAAATGAGAGCAAATGGAAGAATGTCTCCTTTATGTCCATAACTGCTTGGTAACAAGCTTAATTTTCAGCAAGCAAGGTTTAGGTTAGGCATTAGGAAAACATTTCTAACCTGGGACAGTTAAAAAGATTGCGTAAGGAGTTTTTGACTCACTGTCATTGGAGGTTTTAAAGATGAGGTTCCAAACCTTGTCAAACTTGCCCAAGGCTGCTGCCTCCATCACTTCACCTTCCCTGTCTTCTGCCTCAGAACCACTGCCGCTGTCTTGCACCTATGCCATTTCTCCCATGCTGCCACCACTGCCTCCCCATGCCTGGTTCTGCAAGTCCAGCACCACCTGGAAGCATTTTCCTGTGGTGTGCAGCCCCCTGTAGCAACTGCAACAAGATGCAAGTGGTCTGCTCAGAGGTGCTGCATTAAACAAAGCATCTGCTTGCTGTGATTCTAAGGGCCAGGAGATAATCTTGGGGGGCTCAGAAAATCGCAGTTCCCCCTTGCATAAGTCTTACAGTCTTACTTTAGACCATCAAGGATCGCTCAGTCTTCAACTTTAGAGTCACTGTGGTATCTGGGTGAAGGGAGAAAACGGTGACAACAGCACTTTTTTCTTAATGTTTCAGCAAAGGTATTGGTACTAAGTAACTACCTGCCTACCACTTTTGGTATGTGCTACTTATTTTTTGCTTTTGTTCTCTTTATTCATGTTAATAGAATACCCCCTCCTTGAAATGTCCTTTCATGAGCATAAGTGACTAAGCTGAGCAGTAGAGCAGTTAACCACTTGTTATTTTCAGAAAACTTTTAAAGCTTCTAATTGCTGCATAAAAAAAAAATCAAAACATAAAAAGGCACACCATAAATGATCAATTTCATTTGGAGGTCTGTACTTGCTATAAAAACTGACAGTCTGTGGCTTATAAGCAAAGTAGGAATCCTTACCACGTTGCTTTTCAACCTCTTCCTTACAATTATTTCTTCTCCCCTAAAAAACCTCCCTTTTACATTATAGAATCCTTGTATGGTGCTGAAGGTGTTGTAGAAAACGAGGATCGTTACATTATTTTTGCTACTTTGGTTTATTTGATCCCTTTTATGCTAAAGACAGATTTTAAACAGAAATCTACCAGCTTACTAATGATACTTTTCTCGCTTTACGAGTACAGTGTAACACAGATCTGTTTGACCACATCAGACTTATCACTGCACAGCTATTCAAAGAAACCTCATCATACTACCTGTCACTATGAAATATCAACAGCATGATTTCATCTATGCAGTCTGCTTATTTCTGAGGAAAATACATGACTTCTAAGCAATTTATGAAAGGGAGATACATATTTTAGGCACTGTTTATTTACTATAATATCTTAAAATATCTGCATTGTAGTTCAGTTTTACACCTTTTGAGCATTATCCCCAAAACCTTTACAAATGTGTTTATTCCACAAATAGCCTGGGTCCACCTTGATTTCCATTATATTGGATCCACATTGTTTTCTGGGGTTTTGGGTTGGGAGGTGGGTTGGTTAATAAATAGATATATTTATTGATGTAATGAAGAATGGAATATGGAAAAAATTTAGAACTTTTTTTCCTTCTGAAAGTAATATTAAAATAATGCAATTTGTCTTCTGGCTAAACTGCATGTGAGGTAACCTCACATTGTAGAAATGTAGGAATGTGAAGTTCATCAAAAAAATTGTCTATGTTTTCTATGGTATTTTTGACTGCTATGTAAAAATATATAACAGAAGTAATAAAGTTTTTTCTACTGAAATTTGTAAATCAAGCAAAATAAACCTACAGAAAATTGATTCAATGGGAAAAGTTATTATTTGAGCTTTTCAAAATGGATAATGTTAGATGCATTTATTTTTCTTTTTTTACAGCAATAGTCTAAGACTTAATCTTACTGGTGTAATACCTGTGATCCACTACACTCAAATAAATTTGAGATAAGACCTTTCCTGGGAAGGATAATCAGGCATGCATTTTATTTGGGGGTTTTGTTTGTTTGTTTCAAGGTGCGAGTGGCTCCTGCAAAGTGTAAAGCGCATTGTGCAAACATACAGTAATTTTATAACTGAAGTCCATAAGCATAAATTAGACTGTCATACTGCAGTATGAAAGTACTACCCCTTTAAACTCAATTTCAGAATTTAAATTCTTAGGTTTGTGATGTTTCTGATGTTTTTAATTTATTTCATTAATTTATTTTTAGGAGAAGTTACATCCAAGAAATCTTATCCCAGAGCTTTGTAGACTCTTTTATGGTTTAGGCTGGGTAACAGGAACTGGTGGAGGAATCAGCTTGAAACATGGGTAAGTAGAGATGGAAGAGAAAGAATTTGATAGAGAGGGTGCCTGTGTTTAGTAGTTGGTGAGGGCATTTCAGTTCCATGAAAAATGTCTGAAAGTCAAGTGTGAGCAAGAAGATAGAGGTGGAAATTAAAAGTAAACCAAATTTAATCATATAGAAGGGAAGTGGCTAGTCTGAAGTAATCATTGCAGTCCCTTCAATGGAGAGAGCCAACTTCAGAGTGACTTTTTTCTGTCCTTTTCCTATCTTTGTTTAAGGTAGATGCATTGTCTTTAAGGAACAATGCATTCCCCCTTTTTCATTTCATTGACTGTGGAATTTAGGGTCAGTTACACCAGGCACACAGCTTTCAAATGCCTGTGGTTAGATGAGATTAATCCCACTGTAGACATTTTGCAGGCAAGACATTTCCTTTCAGAAGGAAATTACTGTTCTACTGAGATTGGAGATATTCTTAACAGCAAAACAATTTTTGGTGTGTATCCACTACTAAGGAGCACCACTTTGCTTTTTAATTTGCTTGTCTCCCCATATTCATAGTTCCCAAGCTTTTAATAGAGATAGAGCTCCTCTCAGTGGCCACTGAAAAAAAAGAAGTCCTCATCCTGCAAAACACCTTGCACAGTGCCTGCAATTCTGTCCCCAGTCACAGGGTGTTGTGACACTAATTTGAAAGTGTGCAACTTCTCATTTTTCTGACGTATGCTTACATGCAGACACAAACAGCCATTGCTATTCAAATATATGAGATATATATATAAAAAAATAGATAGATATTAAGTAAAGGGGAATGTTAATTACAATTCTGATAAAGCCACATTTTTATGTGCTTCACAGCTGTTTTACTACTATGAAGAGTACATCATCTTAAGAGTTGTATTTTTGGAAGAGGTAGAATCATAGAATCATTAAGATTGGAAAAGACCCTTAAGATCATCAAATCCAAGTGTAAATACCTCCAGGGACGGGGACTCAACCACTTCCCTGGGCAGCCTGTTCCAGTGCTTGATAACCCTTTCAGTGAAGAAATTATTCCTGATATCCAATCTAAACCTCCACTGGTGCAATTTGAGGCCGTTTCCTTTCATCCTATCACTTGTTATTTGGGAGAAGAGGCCAACACCCACCTCACTACAGCCTCCTTTCAGGGCCGTTGTAGAGGGCAATAAGGTCTCCCCTCAGCCTCCTTTTCTCCAGACTAAATAGTCCCAGTTCCCTCAGCTGTTTGTCATCAGACTTGTGCTCTAGACCCTTCATCAGCTTCATTGCTCTTCTGCTTTTGTCCAGAAATACAAATATCTCGTGCTCCTTAAGAAATATATCTGTAACTTGACTAATGATTCACTAGATGTCTCTGCACCCCTGAATTTAGTATGTTACTGTTGAAACCAAATAGTGATTACAACTGAGAGAGATAATCTGATATTTTTTACTTGCTATTATTGAAAATATTTCAGATACGATCTTAAAATCATTTTAATTTACATCAATTTTTATGGTCTTTTTTTCATTTAAACCTTGCAAGGTGATGCACTTTTACCTGAATTTCAGTCATTTAATTGCATTGAATTAGTGTTATCTTTTTATAAATACAAATAAGTATATAAATGCATTAAAAACCTAAACTACACAGTTATAACAAAACCCAAAAGTGTTTACATTGTAGAATACTACAGATAATTTATATTGTTTATAGGTAGGTAGTCTGTGCATTTTTAAGTAATAGTTTTGTCACCTGTTCTGTCATAGAGAAGTATCTGCTTGCAATTTCTCTTGTTCTGTTTTTGCTCTGAATTCTGGGGATTTGAGTTTGGAATTATTGCAGGAGGAGGCTGTGTGTTTTTCTTTGTAGGAAAAATAAGGCTGCACTTCCTATGTCTGTTTCAAATCTCTTGTCAAGTTGAAAGCACAGTTTTGTACCCCCATGTTAGAGATTTCATATGCCATTGTATGATTTGGTTCTCTTTTGAAAACCATCTATATGTCAATCTATAGAAGGAGCAAGAAAGTTATTCAATTAGGAGGGTCTAGATTTGCTATTTCCTTTTCAGTGGATCAAGATCTCTAATGCCTGTGCAGTTGAACAACCCTGTGATTTTCCCTGTCTGTAACTTTTCTTAGGAATGAAATCTACATCGCTCCTTCAGGAGTCCAAAAGGAAAGAATACAGGTACGTTGCACTGTATTTTTACCTCAGAGCTCACCTGGAGATGGATGAAAGTACCATTGTTCAAAGTTTCAGTTTTCCTCGTGTAAAGTTAGTAACTTACTATACTGTTGACTGCCGTATTGAAACAACTGGGGATTTCGCCCGATACTCTGTTAGCATAGCAAGTCAACATGTGTTTCAGTGGCCAATGTAGATTAGTCTTGATGATCTCTTTGCTTTAAACTAACACAGAAGACTCTGAGATTAAAACATTACTCAAGTCCAGCTTTATTCTTTGTCAAGCTTGAATGGCTACAGTTTCAAGTTACTGTCTTGATATTAGTAAATAGATGGGCTCTCCCCATGAAAAGGTGAACTTGTCTATCTGTCTCCTTTCCAAAAAAACCCCAAAATATCAGTGGAGGGGAGGAGTGGTAAATGATAACTATTTTATGACAGCAGGAACTCTCCCAGAATAGAATATATGGAAAGGATTTGTTGTTTTGTAGATGTGAGGGTAAATAACTGAGAAGTGAAAGGAATCTCTTCACTGATAGAAACTTTGGGGTTTCGCAGCAGTGTTCCCTGGATATGTTAGCAATTAAGGCAGGCAAAGGCCTAACATGGCAAGACCATGCTGGTCTGTTCTTTGCTAGCAGTAGTAGTGAATTGAGCGCAAAACTGTATTTACTGCTGATTTTTAAAATAACATTAAAGAAGAAAGTTTTATTGTTGCCCTGAACAATTCTTTGTACTATTATCGGTAGCTAATTGATGCAAAGGTAACATTCATGTAAAGCAAGGTTTAAAAAAACAGTTCTATAAGTAAATATATTATATGTAGGTTTAATTCATGTCCTTTGTTGGTTCTTTAAGGGGGGAGGGGAAAGTATATCTACATCTCTTTTTTTGAATCAGTTACTACTTTGCCTTTTGATCTATTGTTTGTTATTTAGATATGGGCTGTCTCCTTTCTGAGAAAATTTTAGTTTTATAAATATCTGCTTGGAAGAATCCTGAATAAAAAGAGTACATAATATTAATTCACATTACACGACGTCAATAAGTAGTATTAGAAGCTAGAATAAATGCAGTACATTACAGCACTTACACAAAGTTAAAGTCCCATTCTGTCTTAAATATATGGCGTATATATTTGTCTCCCTAGAAGGAAAACAAAACTTTTTGGGTCATCACAGGTCAAAATAATTTCTTCTTTCTTACAGCCAGAAGATATGTTTGTTTGTGACATGAACGAACAGGACATCAGTGGTCCCCCACCACACAGGAAGCTAAAGAAAAGCCAGTGCACACCTCTTTTTATGAATGCCTACACTATGAGAGGTGCGTAGCAAATGTTTTAGTTCAGCAATGACTGTATATACACATCCACAAAATTGGAATTCAATACCATATTCTTCATACATGAAAGTTACAGTGAAATAAACATGAAACTGTAAAATAAATTGATTTGCAAAGGAATATATACAATGGAATTTTACGTTTTAATTTTCTCATGTAGCTATACCTGTGATCATCTTTTCGGGACTAATTTTTAGTGCAGTATATTAGTAGGTTGCAGGAGGAGCTGGGGGATTTACAGCAGTTTTATACCAGTAGTTTTTCTTATTCAACAGCTATGTTTTAGATCCTAATACAACCATTGGCTGTGATCAAAGGTTCTAAATTACGCATAGGTAAAAAAAGTATGGAACTTTTCTTTTGCAAGTGGACAGTAACAGAGAGCTTTTGCTGTTGTGTAAGATTTAGATCTGTTGCTTTAGAAAGGATTTAGGGAGTCTCTTCTGATCTTCCTGCACAAGAAGCTTACATGTGTACCCAAGAAAAACTCATTCCATATTTTTTGCAACATTGCAATTTTATAAGAAAATTATAATTATTGTCTACCAATCTTTCAATCATGACACAGTCAGCTAGCAATAAATATTTTTTCACACAATCAGTGGATAATCAAAGAAGAGTACTAGCATAAAAAGAAAGTAAAAGTCTTTAAACTTTCATCTCACAAATAAGTTTGGAAGTCGTTAGAATCTCAGAACTCGGATAAAATTAATAGAGTGTTTTAGTCATTGCAGTATGTAAAGAAATGTACAAGTAGTGTTTCTCCTTGAACTTGTGCAAGTAGTTTCTCTCCTGGAATTTGTCACTAAGTAAAAGTTAACAGTAGTGTCCTAAGACAATCCATAATTATCCTTTATAGATGAGTAATTATCTCATATCTTTATTTAGGTTGCTGTATATTTTTTCCTCTAATACAGTCGATCACCATTTGCTAAGTTGCCTAGCCAAAGGACATGAATCAAGTATGTGAATAAAATTTTCTTCATAGGCACATTTTAAAATTAATTCTAAAACTTTTTTTTTCTTTTCTTCTTTTTCTGTTCCTAGGGGCAGGTGCAGTGATCCATACTCATTCCAAGGCTGCTGTTATGGCTACCCTTCTTTACCCGGGGAGTGAGTTCAGTATTACCCATCAGGAGATGATAAAAGGAATCCAGAAGTGTACTTCAGGAGGCTATTACCGGTACTTCTCTATATTTAAGAAAAGAGGCGTGCTATTTGATCATTTGTTTTCAGCAACATAAATAGATGACAAGTGCATTGAAGTGTGTAAATATTAAGTGTTAGGAATAAGAAGTAAAAAGACCCTGGAATAAATCAATCATTGGCTTTCCTTAAGAAGGTCTCAAGCCTGTGGAAGAGATCTGAAAGATCTGAGATAAAATCTTGTAATGTTAAGGCTACTGTAGTCTGTTGAGCTACAGAAACAAACCAAATAAAGAGCTGTGTCCTGACAAGATGTTAACACATCCATACAATGTTAAACTGAAGCAGGAGTCAACCAACATGAGGTTGGATTGATAATGTACAAACTACATTTGGGTGGACTTCACATATCACTGCCCGTGCTAGTTTAGGGCATGTTAAGAGAGTAGAGGATTTCAGATTTTACTTGACAGACTTGGAAAGAAAATTCAGAATAAACAGCTCATTAAAGGTAATGTTATTACTTTTCAAGGATGAGCTCTGAGGTAAGTGCTGAGTTATTCCAAATTATGTGTGATGGCTTGTTTTGAGGACTCCACCCACAGAATGTTGAACTGGGATCCGCAAACAACATTTATATAATATGTGGCAATTAGATGAAAAATTGAAATGCTAAATTTTTTCCACTTTTTGACGTTCATTTTTGTAACTAACTGTTGCCCTTTGGCAAGGGAGAAAGCCGTATGTCTGGTCTGTGATTTTACGCCCGGGCATATTTTATTCAGTTTTGGTTGACTTGCCAGCTTTACCTTCTTGTCAGCGTTAGCATTTGTATTTTTAATGTCGCAAAAGCCACCCCTTTTACTGAATTGTCTAAAAGCACTGGTTTTAAAAAAATCCATAGCAATTTTCTTTTTTGGTGATACATTTTGAATCATCTAACATTCCTAAATGTTAGTCAGGAGACATTGTATTTATTCAGTTCCATATCTCCGAGTTGTTCCATGTCATCCTGTTAATTTCCCAGAAAAACTAAAGAAATCAAAGCTCCAAATTACATCGTTCCTACATACATATTCATCCGTACTAAACTGATTCCACTGTCTTGCCTCACACAAGGCTTCCAGTTGAATTCAAAAGAAACTCGATAGTACAGAATAGGATCTTTCAAAAAAGGGATTGACACTATATTGTTTCTAATTACATACACCTTTTCTGGAAGCTATCCGGGAAAATGCTACAGATAGGATAATCAGAATTATTTAATTATTTGTTGGCCTGAATGTGATCCCAGTGAAGCCAGAATAGTTTTACCGTTGACTTCAGTAGGAGAACTAGATCTGTAGTAAACAGCTTTGAAAGTCTCAGCCTGTCCCAAGATATTTTATATGAAGGTTTGGGTAAATGTAGGCTGTTTATATTTCAATAAAACTAAATAGATATCAAGTACTTAATTCATTCAGAGTCTTCCTGGGGTTTTATAGGTATTAGTTCTTGGCAAAAAGCTTACGGTTATGATTAGGAATCAGTTATGGTATTTATACCTGCTTCCAAACTCACATCCAAGTAGAAAGCAGAACCTAGGAAACCAATCCCTTAGCTCATTTGGCCACACTAGTAGCAAACACTCCAAATTTAATTTTTGTGATCAGAATAAGTAAGGGTCGAAGTATGCTTACAAAACCTGCTTAATTTTCTTCATTCACTTTTTATAGACTTCCTTGGAAAAGCATCAGCATTGAAAACTGTGAGGGATGAGACTTTAATTTTCTGAATATCTGATTTGAAGTACAAGCTGTATTGTTTTTACCATTGCTTTCTCTCTGTTTTATAAAAGTACTACTAGCATCCACTCATGAAATATCTGTGTGATCTCAATGATCTATCTGAACCTGAACTGGGGACTTATTAAAATGATTTAAACAAGTTTCTGCCAGTGTTAATTAAGGTTCAAACAATGCCAAATATCCCAGTCCTCCTTCAGAAGAAACTCTTAGGCAAGTTCCACTGAGTAACGTGCATCATCTTGTCTTTGGAACTGGGGTTCTCAGGCTCTCTTAAGATCACATATAGCCCACCTGTGACTCCATCACAGAGAATTTATTTTTCATGTGTTGACTCTACTTTCTATTTATATGCTTTAGCAGGACAGTCTTATTTCCAGGGGCTTTTTGGACTACCCAATTTTTTTTTTTCTTTGCTCTCTAGCAAACAGCTTCATTTCCTTCTTCAGGATGTGATTCTTTTAAATAATTTAATCTGAGATAAAGCTTGTAGGTGATGCCAATACAGGATGAAGAGAGTCTGAAAAAAGTTGTAAAGGGACCCAACTACAAAGTGATACATGAACAAACAGCTACACCTAATACATTAAAGCATTATTTTCTTTTTGTGCCTCAAGTGTAGCTCAGGTATTGCCAGCATAGCATACATTTGGGAGCGAGAGATGTTCCTGAGAGTTCTTATATTACAGCATGACACACAAGAGAAATGTGTAAAATCACTAGTGCTGAGAATTTGTTAACATCTTTACACAATCAAAGGAGAATCTCTTTCTTAGGGAAAAGCTTCATACATCCAAACACAGCGTTTTTTTAAATAGATGAACATTCCTTTTTCTTTTAGATATGATGATACGCTAGTGGTTCCCATTATTGAGAATACACCAGAAGAGAAGGATCTCAAGGAAAGAATGGCACGTGCAATGGAAAAATACCCAGACTCTTGTGCTGTATTGGTCAGACGTCATGGAGTTTACGTATGGGGAGAAACGTGGGAAAAGGCCAAAACGATGTGAGTACAATTTAGGAATATAGTATCTTTTGCCATTATACCTCAAAATCTTAATGACCTTAACGTCATGTGTATTTCCAACTCATGGACAATGATTCAGAACATTAAGTTCTGGCCTCACGGAATGTATAGGGAGCTTTTGGGAATGGATTCATCCATGATTCCACTGCTTGGTTTTCCTTTCACGTCAATGCTGGCTGATAGGGTTGCCAACATTTTTCTTCCATGCAGACAAGTCCTTCCTCATATGAAATCTGCAGGAAATCTCACCTTTATATGACATCTGCCAATACTATTTGAGTAGTCTTCCCTAGTCTCATTTTTGGAATTTACTTCTTCATTTGCTGATGGAAATGCAGCAAATCGGGATCATGTAACGAAAGTGCTGGGCACTTCCCATACCCCAGTAATGGAAATAAATTATAATAGAGCTGTCCAGTCAGACCATTACATTGGTGATGTAAAGTTCAAAGAAGAAAACTACTAATTTTCATAAAACATCATAAGACTTGAGCCTTACTTTACATTTTACCTTTTTTTCCTTTTAATTTTAGGTGTGAGTGTTATGATTACTTGTTTGATATCGCAGTGCAGATGAAGCAGCATGGTCTGAATCCTTCCAAATACCCAGCAGGAGAACAAGGAATTTTGTAAACGACAACAACATTTATATCCAGGTGTGAATTTAACTGTAGAGATGATCTGTTTGGAGGGAGAGACTACAGATGACACCATCATTTCAGTCTGCTTTCCCTCTCAGGAAATTTCAGTATTGCACATCTCCCCCACTCCACTTCATTACCACTGCAATAGTATCTATACCTGAAATAACGCTCCTTTACCACACAATGCAACAAAAAGATATGTATTAATAGTAAAGTATGTCTTGTGCATATTTTAGCACAGCATGGAGTGCAATTGCTTTTTAAAACTAAATTGTATCAAGCATTTCCAGAAAAAGCCATGGAGAAGAAAGACCCCAGCCTAGTAAGCTAATCTAGAGAGAGAAGCCTGAACACCTACTTTTGTTCTTGAGGTTGCAGGATCAGGTTTGATTTCAGTCCATCTCAGTGGTATCACTTGTATGGTGGGGTTTTGGTTTATTTTTTCCTTCAGCAGAAGTAGCTGGTTGCAATTTGATTAAGTTTCATTGATTAGCATCACCTGTTTACCTCGTACAACAAATTACCATCACTTTCTGTTTTCTAATGTAGCAATGATCAATGTTTTGAAAGTTTTCATAACAAATATTTTAAAGTAAAAGCATAAAGATAATATGATCAGGCAGTACTTTACATGAAGGATCCCTGAAACAATTCCCCCATAAGCAGTATACAGCTCAGTAAGGCAAAACACAGTGGTAGCCTAACATTTCAGAGTCCGGGATACTTCTTCCTGAAAATCTAAGCAAGTTTAAAGATACCAGTACTGAGATTATAAAGATGTTGCTAGGCCAAAGTGGTGGTCTAATTAAACAGAATAGGCTAACTTGTTGCACAGAGTTGGCCCATCAGATAATCCTCTCCACCCACTATATTTGCATCAGAAGAGATGACAAGCTACTTGACAGCAAGCCTCCTATCCCACTGCTTCCTCCTCTAGTGTAGGCATAATGGCTAATGATCCAAGTACCTGTCTGTTCTGCTGCTTTGTGCCTACACTAGAGGAGGAAGCAGTGGGACAGGAGGCTTGCTGTCAAGTGAGTCTCTGCGTGAACTTTTGGAGTGCTGCCACCACATACAGTGATGAAGACACACTGGCTGCCACACCGGCACAGAGCTACCTCATGGGCTGCAAGAACCATTCTGAAATGGCTCCTCAGCCCCTGCAGTTGAATAGGTTGGGCTAACATAGGGGTATTAATATTCCTTTGCCTATTTCTTATGACTAAATAGTTTTAGAATGTATTCACTTTTATCTTGTTTCTCCTGTACAGGTTTCTTACATGATGATGGGAGTTCCAAATTCCACCTCAGGCTGCTAAAACCAGAAGGGGGTGCTGTTATACTTGGCTGATTGACAGAAGTTAGCAGTCAGTTTTGACTGTTAAACACATCCAAGAAGAAAGGGAGAGTTAAAAGAAAATTTGAAAAAAAGCTCAACAATCATTGCTATTTATGAATCCTGTCAAATGCTACAGTAGGAGGAATGAAAATTCAAATACAAAAAAAGATTTTGGAAAAGGCTATGGAGAACTAATGTGACATTTTGTTTGTGTGCTTTAAAAATTCATATGTCAATCTGCATTTGATGATCCTGCTCTGCTGCTACATCATTTGACCTGTTCTAGGTCTCCATTTCTGAAAGTTATAGTAGCCTTTATTCTTGGGAAAAAAAGTGAGGACAACCCCTTAATTAGAAGTTAAGTATAAAGTTTAAAGCATTGTTTGAACTGTTGATTCATTCATGCCATGTTAATAGTTGTTGTTTTTTTTAATTAAGCCTGTAGCATTTTTTTTTTTTTTAATTCTCCTAATTGCCATTATAATGAGTAGGAAACATAATTTTATAGTGTGCATTTGGAAGTTGTTACTGAGGGTCTGGGTCTTGTCTGGTTTTTACCTCTTTAAATTCATCCACTTCCAATAAAATATGTTACTACAATTTTAAAACAGCTTTTTATGACCTGTGATTAGCCAGCCTAAGGTAGATTTAATCAAACCGCTCATTAAAATATAGTCTATATATTAAAATATAAAATCTGTATCTTATAGATATTTATGTATCTTCATATGTTCTTTCAAAATCTCCTGGAATGGCCTCCCAGTGACAACAGTCTAAGCCTTGATTGACCAACTTTCTGATTGAATATTGAGACTGTAGTCCCAAGGGTGAATTGAGACAGGGTAAGTGCCAGTTGACCTGGTTTTCTGCTAGGAGCTATGGATTCCCACAACTTCCCCTTGCATCATCTCTGGCACTTTTTTGAGCTTCCGTGAGGTGAATTAGCTCTTCAGCCTAAGAGAAAACTACTGTGGGAGTGCAGGGAAGAAAATTATTATATTGTTTCCTAATAAGGCACTGGTAAAACATTGAATCAATTCAGAGGTGGGTCTAAGGAGGACCAGAGCTGGGGCAAGAAAGGAGATGGCAGATAGTTCCCCCATTTCATGCAGATGACTATTCAGACTTAGTCAGCTACTTGTGGTTAGGCATTTGCTGTGGATGTTCTGAAGAGTTCAGAAAGAGCTGAAATCTGTGGGAAGTATTCTGCTAAACCAAAGAGGTCAGAAACTCGTATTTTTCACCCATTAATGAGCACCAACTTTTCTTTAGCTATGTATGTCAGACTACTGATTGTAGCACAACATACGCTGTTGGTCTCTCTAGTTACTGGTAAGTGTGTTCTGCTGAACTTACACAAAAATAATCCTGCTTTGGCTTGGTGGGCTTTTGTGTCCCCACACAACAGTTTGTCACTGGTGTCCAACAAAACTCATTTGCAGTAAAGCATCATGTTGGGCTTGTTCAGCCTGGAGAAGAGAAGGCTGCAGGGAGACCTGATTGCGGCCTTTCAGTACCTAAAGGGGGCCTATAGGAAAGATGGGGAAAATCTTTTTAGTAGGGCCAGCTGTGACAGGACAAGGGGTAATGGTTTTAAAATAAACCAGGGTAGGTTTAGACTGGATATAAGGAAGAAATTCTTTACAATGAGAGTAGTGAAACACTGGAACAGGTTGCCCAGAGAGGCAGTGGAGGCCCCATCCCTGGAAACATTCAAGACCAGGTTGGATGAGGCTCTGAGCAACCTGATCTAGTTGGTGGTGTCCCTGCTCACTGCAGGGGGTTTGAACTAGATGACCTCTAGGGGTCCCTTCCAACCCAAAACATTCTATGATTCTATGACCATGGTATAGACCAAGCGCCTGCTGACCTGATCCAACCTCCTGGGTACCAGCTGTTTCTAAGCAGTAAGATGTGGTCACCTTGACATGACAGCCTGGCACACCCAGCAGAGTTGTTGCTATGCTGCCTGTTTGTCAGCAACCAGATCCCTCTTATCTCCACATCCTCATAGCAGCTACAGCCTCTTTCTGTGCTGCACAAGAGAGCATGTTCAGTATCTGCTACTACCAGACCAACAGCAGCTGTCAAAGATGACATCAAGACCTCAACTGATGAAGTTGCCGCTCCACAGCAATGATTCATTACAGAACAATCTGCCATCAGAAACTTGCTGACTACTCATCTACCAAGATACCATGCCCTCACCTCTCTAGGATGCTTCAAATTTTCTCAACAATACGTACCTAAGCTTTGCTCTGGAATTTTCCTGTACCTGTCAGTCGGATATCAACTAAAGAGTTGTTAATTGTTGTTGTATATTGCCATGTAGTTCAGATGGGCCTCTTTTCCCCCAACTGGTGACTGTAAGACTCACCACTGTCTATTACAGTGAATTTAATTGAACAAAATCTTTGCCATTCTATTCTTACATTAAAGGAATAACCACATTTAGTTCTTTTCTGGATTTCCTTACACATTTTAGGAACATAGGAACAGCATTGACTGTTTTGTGGTTTATGTTATTGACTTTATTTCTGAACTGCCTTCCCAAATGCTGTGGTACCTGATTCTTAACATTCATAAAGAATAGTGGTGCTATACTGACAGACTGGCAGGTTTCATTTAAATAGTCTTAGTGACTTAAGTAGTCTTGCAACTACTAGGCATGTTTGTCCTTCCCTCCTCTACGTAGTGCTGTACCTGCAGTGTGCAACCTTTAAACCTTAGGGGGAGGGCGACATTAATTATTGTGAAATGGTGGTTATCGCTAAGTTACTGCAGGTTGTTGACTATATGTTTATTGATACATTTCTTCATTATTAGACACTCATTAGTCAGTGGCTAACATCTTGTGAGTGTATGTGCATTGCAGTAAGAACTTGGATGAAAAATGTTATTTTTCAGATCAGAGAGTAACTTTGGACAGGCTTCGTACTCGTCTGCTCCACTTAAGCACAAAACACATCTTTAAGTATTTTCAAGACTTCAGAGGTGGAACTGAAGGGAAAGCAGATTGTGTTTGCATTAGCTTTGCTTCTCTATGGGCATGCTAACGAAAATACTTATTGATGTGACAATCCACTTAGTCCTGAAATGCAGTTGCCACCTATTGATTGTGACCTTTAATTCTTTATTTAAACTGCTAGATTTCTGCAAAAAGTAAATTCCTGTGGTAGTCTGATGATGCTGTCAGAATAGGACATAATTGTATCATTCCATACTACTGATGCTTTGTAAAGATAAAGATGATTTTACACTTGGTGTTTTGTTCCGCATGTATAATGACAAAATACAAAAGAACACTCACAAGGAGAGATATTTTTTGCCAAATATATTCCTCTGGGGTCATGTTAATTACAAATTTTCACTTCCTCATCCAGCCACAATTTACCACACTGTAGACTTTCTAAAATCTGTGTGAAATATCAGATTTCTAATAGTAGTAATAAAGTTCCTTCATACAGGATTCTGAGATGGTTGAAGTCCCATTCAGGGATACAGAAAGGAGCTAAATACACTCTTCTCATGTCTGTTTGCATGTGAACTCTCAACGAAGAAAACATGAACAACAAACAAAAATATGAACATTTCCCATATGATTTAAAGCTTCTAAACTCCCATCATTTTTAAGACTAGAGCATTTTCTAATGTGAATTGCAGGCTAATAAGCCAGCTAGATATTTTCATACATTTGTAGCAAAGACTTGATCTCCACCAAAGCTGATTATCTAGGTTTAGTATCACCAGATAGGTTTATGTAAAAATGACATAATTCCCCTTTCAAGTGGGTCATCCAAAATTCTAATTATGTTCCAGTATTTCCCAGTAAAAGTAATTTCCTAGCAAACATCCTACTTGCTTTCCAAGAAGGAAATAAAACTGCAGAATACAGCATCTTGAAACATTAAGAGAGAGAGCTCTAACTTACAGTAAGCAGTTATGATGCCAGTATAGGTCCACTGGTGAATACTGTAATGCCTGAACAACTGGCATCCTATTTCCTTTAACTCTGAAACCATAATTTAAAAATTAACCTCTAAAAAAGCTCACTGAGTAGTGGAAAAATACAAATAAACCAGTAGCCTTCCTCTAAATTTTTTTTGCCACACTTTGGCAAATACATCTGTAAGAATTTTTTGCTGTTTTACAGAAGAGGACAAATTGGCAAAAAAAAAAAAAAAAAACAAAAAAAACCCAAACCCAACTGGAACGCTTTAGCTGTCTTACTTCTGTATCAAGGAAGAAAATATACAGTTTGATATTAATGCTTCTCAATTTCAAAACTGTTAAAAAAACCTCTGAGCTGATATAAGTTAAGGTATCCCTGCTGAGGGGAGTTATCAGTCATGTACTCTACAGACTCATAAGCAATAAAGAATAAAAAAGCCACTTTGGATTTGTAGTTCCCTGTTGTTATAAGGAGAGGTGAACCCCTGCACGCTTTGTTTTCATTTTCTTTCCTTTCATGTAAGGTGAAATAAAAGTTGTGCCTTACAGCCCCAGGTTGTGTCCAGGGACAGCCCTCTGAGCTGAGGTAAACTTGTACCAGAGAAGATAGAGAGGTGCCTGTGACAGCACTTTGCTACCAGCTGATAAAAGCTTTCACAGAAGCCAGTGATTCTGTGTGTTTGTTTTAATTTTAAGTAAGCTTAATGTTAAGAGCTTAATGTTACTCCAGAAGAATGCTCCCTGACATGATTTTTAAAAGAGCCAATTTCTAAGTCCCTGAGTCGGAAAAAGAGCTCTCAGGCATTTATCCTGGTACTACCCAAGGGTTCACTACATAAATCAGGTGGTAAATAAAATCTCACTATTTTTTAGTTGACATCATTAGCATGGGGACCTGTTTCTGCTAAATTTGAATGACAGTGGTTCAGCATACTGAGTGCACCATTGCAAAATTATTTTGGAGGTAAAACCTTTAGTGGAACCACAACAGTTGGCTATTTCTTAGGATTTTAATCTATTGAAAACAAAATCAATTCCAAATAGTAACTTTTTAAGTTTTTCTGTATGTTTTCAGACTTAATCTAGCATCTGCTAGACTTTGCTAGAGCCGTCAGAAAAAAAATAGTGACTGGCTAGTGCTCAATACCAAAAATGGACTGAGCATGTTTGACTAGATGGTATTTAATGGGGAATCATGGAAATTCATATTGCTTAAATAGCATTTGCAAACACCCACTCTCTCTGTACTTACATATGCGTGTTGGGTTTCTTTACTCTAAGATACTGTGCTATTGTACTAGCAAGTTTCTCCCATCTATGACAGATAAAATTACAGTTTAATCTGCAGAAACCAGATCAGCAAGAATTTATTTAAATACTTAAGCATAAGTTCTCACTCCTTAATGAGCTTCAGATTAGCTTCGATTTCTTTAATGGTAATTTCTGGTAATTACAAACAGAATACACTGGATATAGAAGAAAGAATAGATCTTACATTTAAAGCAAAGAGCTGGAAGTCTAAATTTTGTGGCTGTTTCAAGTGTTACCTTAAGGTCATGCCTTGAACAGTTCACTTTGATGGGAGTTTCAAAAGAGCTTGAATGAATCAGAGACTACCCTAAATCCCATTGGAAAGTTAGGTGCTTAATTTCATTAAGCTTTCCTGTAACTCTGAGGATTTAGCTATCTGTGTTTCAGTCGGGAGGGGTAAAAAAGAAAAGGGGGTGGGGGGCACCTCGATTACTAGCTGCCAAGTTACCGCCACTGTATCCCAGATTGACATCAAATGCTTAACTGGTATTTTTTTCCTAAAAAGAATGATGACCTATTATACTAGAAACACTTAGTTTAAGAAAAAGATTACCCAAGATAATTTCACCAACCAGAGATTTACAAAAACAAGAAATCAAGAACTGAGCTTTCCTGCTTACTCAGAGATGTACATTAATACTACCACAAGTAACGCAACACAATTTTTGTGACTTCTGTTCTGCCCCTGCCAAAGATTACCAGCTGTATGTCTTTCCAGATTAAACATCTGATTCCCGTTCTGAAGTTCCTGTTCTCCAGACAAAGCAAGGTTACCCTCACAGTCCTCATTTTGGTGCAGTTCCTGAAAACAACATCACTGCAGTAAATTTAAGTTTGTCTATATGATGACGGCAGACTACCTGGGCTCGGCAGGTTTCTGTGCATTTACTGCTAATGATTACATTTCTTTTTTTTTATGCTTTGTCTCATTTCCATGTTTTATTGTTTTAATCCTTTTTTTCTGTAAGATTTTTCTCCCTCCCTTGTTTTCTTTACTCTATTTGAAACCAAATATAAACTTAATACAATTTGCATTCTGGTTGAACTTTCAAACCCAGGAGTATTTTTGTGTTAGGAAGCTTATCTCTTTCCTGATTCATCTGCTACATCCCTGACATATCCAAGCATGTCCTGTTATTTGCATGCTTGCAAAATTTCAGTACTTAAAGGGTTAACATGCCTTTTGTACCTCAGACACACTAGGATTTTGCAAGCATATGTCTGTTGGTTGCAAGAGCATATGAGCAAGTATGAGACT